AATTTATTTTATATATTATTTTTGTCTTCATTTTTTATTTTTAATCGTTTCTTTACAATACTAATTTCCCTTCAGAAAATATCCAATGAATTGCTTATGGTAAAAAAATTTTTAATCATATAAATGAAAAGGAGACTAATGTTTTGTGTGTACATATTGAAATGTATTAAATCAAAACTCCAAGCAGACATTGCAGGTGGAACGATTTCTGTATGACTCTGATGCTCTTTCTTTCAAATTTCAGAGCGCACAGGCATTGCAATAAAGTCACTTTGAGACACATCAGAAACCGGGGAGCTTTCGGTGCCTATTTTATATTTCTTTAGCATCGTCAGCGGCATAGCAGTCAATCTCCCCATAGTTTTATTTTTGGCCTTCGAATAAGAACTCGCAGCTGGTGCTGTAATGCGCTTAATTTCTCCATCGAGCATAAACATTTAAAATTCTGTTTTTATCCACAGGGTTTCAAGAAAACATTTAGCGATTTCTCCCATTCCTAAACAAAATAGTGCACACATAATCGCCCCTAAGTTACAAAGCAAGCATCAGCCATCCTCTAATGGATGTGGCAGCCACTGTGCCCTGCTGAGTCACTTAACTCCTGTCAACAAGGAGCTGGGACATGTTTTTATTCTACTGTGGTTCTCCTTGCCCTAGCAGTCAAGTCTCAGGGTCACCAGCTCCTAACATTTATCTGGCTTCACCTGACAGAGCTCCGATGTCCTCTCGCTGGAGACTTTCAGAGCACGGATGCTGCAAAGTTAAACAACTGTGTGCACTGTCTGACCGCAAAGTAGAAATGTGCGAATTTCTACTGGAGCAAGGAGTTTTAGTAGACATTTCAGTATAGATAGAAAAATGTGCTTTTGGCCTCTCTGAATGTTTCAAGCCTTGCTGATTTCTTATGGTTTTTTTTTTTTTTTAATGCAGTCATTTAAACTCATTTCCCCCTCCTTGGTTTACTAACCCACGCTGTCTCTCACTCGCCCTGTTTCCTCCCACACACACTGAGAACAAAAGGAAGGCCGACTCATATGCTCTATAAAAACAAAATTTAAAAAATTACCAAAAAATAAAAAGTCAGTTTTTTTCCATTCCAGACATATTGCTTTGTTTTCTTCTGATGACATAGTCAGCCCCATTTTTACCTCATTATACTCATTGCACGGGACCGTGACACTGTAGGAGTAATGGGATCCAACATCTACATAAATGGCAGTGAGCGTTTCAACAAATATAAAGAGTAAACATATGTATTCATCAAAACTGACTAAAGACTTTCTTCGGGATTAAACATCTAGGGACTAAACATGTTTTTATGCTATAGTATCTCTTCTTAGTCATCATTTTAATGCTAAAAATAAGGAACTTTATCAGGTATGTGTATAATAAACAGATAATAATAATAATAATAAGCAGAGGGTTCCTTAGAGTTCATATTCCTTTACCACTTTCATTAACCCTTAATTCTAAAAATATATTATTATGTCATATTTGTGGGTTATTTAGTATTCAGCGTTTGGGACTTAAATTTGAACACCCAACAGCCCTGTACTTAACCACCACCTTTTCTTTCCCGTTTTTTTTTTTTTTTTTGAGACATTTCTGTCAATATAATTCAGGGAAATTGTGACCTGGTCATGACCCAAGCTGGTCATTAACCCCCACATTTCTCTTTCTGCCTCCTGAGTGCCAGTATAAACTGGCATTCACTCATCTGCCTGCGAATGCTTTCTTATTTTACCTTCTAAATTAACACTCATGTTTTTCAGGAGCAGATTTCTTGAAGACATGATATCCGTCTTTGATTCATATCTACTTAATTTTTTATTCATGTTTTGTATTCCACATGGTATATCCATATAACCCCTCTGTATAATTAATTGTGAAAATGGACTAAAGAGTTTTCAAAGAGCATGATCAACGTGTTGATAAAATCTCCCACCTTCTTTTCAAGAAAGTTGTTTTCTTCATGAGTGTTATAAATCAGTCAGACAAAAATAGAAAAAAACAAAAACACAGAAGTGTTACTTGACTAAATTTTATAATTATAAATTTTAATTATTTCTAGTTCCCTCTGAAAGCTTTGTCTATCTATAAAACACATGAGTAAAATATAGTGATTACTACATAATTTTCCACAATTATTCATGAGTCTGAAACCAGAATTGTCGGATTGTTTTATTTATTTGTGATATAAAGGTGTATGCAGAAGAAAGGTGGCAGATGGTCTAAGGGGTGGCATTACGGGGTGAGAACATATTGGGATGCTGGATGGTAGTTCGGGGTTTTGGCTGCCAGACAAGTGGGTCAAGGATGTTTGCAAATCTAAATGAGCATACAGAATTCAGAGTTGAAACCCCGAGAGTTGAAACACCGAGGTTGTAGACTTTCTTGGGGTGTTTTGACGGCAAAGGCAAGAGAAAAAGGAGGCGTGGACCCTCACTAGGTTGTCTGCCAGATTTTGCTGTGGAAGGAGTGTGCCTTAGCTTAGTTCATTGTGGGTTGTTTTGTAATCTAGACATTGCGGTAAGAAACTAGCAGAAGACAAGCTCCTGCTGAGTAAAGTTCATATCAGAACATATGATGTAAGGGAAGCCTTACAGGAAACCAAGACAAAATTGTTTTATGTGTGGGCTCTAGAAGTTAAATTATGAATGACTCCTACAGCTGCCTGAGAACAGGTGAATACCAAAGAAGGTAAAACCCCGCCTGTTCGACTGTCTGGATGAAGGAATACTTCTCAGCTGTCTTCAGATAATTACAAGGAAAGCCTAAACACTTGCTCTTGTTAGAGGCACACAGCCGAGGATCTCAAATATCTCTGCTGCTGGTGGAGTGAAGAGGATTGTTTCTGCTGTCTGTTTTACTATCCTGTGTATACAATATGTCTTCCAAACTTCATTACAAATCAGCTAATCCATTGAAATGGCTAGGAGTCTGTTTGTATTGCTTTTCACCTTCTGAAACATAAGATTTACATACTTTCTAAGATATTATGGACTGTAAAATGGATTTTTATTAGGCACTGAAAATATTTTAAAACATGTCTTATTTTATTAGGCACTGAAAATATTTTAAAACATGTCTTATTTTAACTCTCTTATTTTAATTCTCAAGAAGTAGTCAAGTGATAGGATTCACTATGTGGGATTCTTTTTAGATGTATAGAAACATGCTATTCATAAGATTAATTCAGTAAATTATGTCAAACTCTATGACCAATGGCAATTTGCATTGTACTATTCCTATTCTGTAGTCTTCTATCATTACTGAAACAGTCTTCCATTCACCAATATATTTTACTATAAATATATTTAAGAAAATCACACAAAATTATCCATTAAAATATTCCTGGCATATAAAGTTTCATAAATAAACTACCATATTTAATATTGTTGCATTTCAGAGACTGATTTTCACTATTTCTATGTCATCACAATATTATTTTAAACTTTACACATTAAATATGACATCTGGGCTTATTCCTTCAATAGGCTTCCATATTCGTTTCTGAACAAGTAATTAGTTTGTAGAATGAATAAGGACTATACTACTTTGAAGAAGTAAAGCAGATGTGTTGGGTTTTCTGCACTGAACTGATAGTGCAGGCACTGCAAACACAATTGCCTTAATTATGTGCTGAAAGAGATTTGCTAGTTTCTGGAATTACTTAGAGACCCTCTGCTTTCTAAATCTGTACCTGATATGTTGCCGCCTTGTTACCTCAAAATTCTTTGTCATATTGTTTCCTAATTTTGTCATCATATTAGGTGGGTTACTCTACACTCCATTGAGTTGAAAATGCCACATTTTAAATAGTAGGCAAAATTTGTGTGTCTATGTTAGTGTTTTAAATGAAGAGATTGGTCAAAATTACATATACTGTGAATGCTTTTAAGTTTATTTTATATTATTTGAGAGCTCTATATTTTCTTTATGTATATTACTTTATCCATCTATCTGTCCACCTATGTCTGTCTGTCTATATATTATCCATCTATGTGTGCACTTATTACCACCTATCTTTTATACTTGAGGTTGCATTTTTTCCATCTTTAATGTTCATTCCTGTTGTTTAGAGTTTCTTGTTCAAGTTCAGTGATTGTTCCACCAAGTATCTTTTGTAGTTCCAGTCAAGTATAGAATACCTTTTGTCGGGAGATTGTTATTCTTCTCTGTTAAGCCTGTCTAGGTGAGAGGCTACGGCTTCTTAAATTCTCCTTTCTTTTCAAAAGTCAGACCCTTGGCTGAAAAAAAAAAAGTTTCATGTTACCATTTCATAAAACTTCTATTAAAATTCAAAATACAATAGAAAAACATACTTTTTATTACTAATCACATTTAAATGCAAACCTAGTGTTTATCTTCGTCAAAAGTGCAAACTACAAGGCACTCAGTGTTGTGACACACAGGGTCCACCTCTAGATAAAATCATTAGCATGTACTGGCTACAGCATGCACAATGTCGTCCATCTAGACAACAGAGCAGAAGGTGTTCACTGTTTAATTTCAGCTTAGTCTCTTTGTATTCTCTATAAAGATGTGGTGTCTTCACCAAGAACCTTACTGTCTTGTTTCCGTGTATATTCAAGATCAATGGAAATAAAGTGACCCGAATCGTTTGCTGAAAGAATAGAAACATGCTGCTCCAGTCTTTCTGTTTGGGAAGTTTCCTATGGCTCTCTACTGGCTTCAAGCCATTTCACCTTTTAAATGTTTCAGAGACTCTGTCTATGTCCAAAATATTTACTGTTTTACCTTCTTCTCTGTTGGGCCACTCTATTCCTTTTCCTGGAGTTACGTCTGTTATCTCTCTTGTATGTTTCTCAATTGGAGAACCAATATTTGCTATTCCTTCGATAACCGCCCCTTCGTGCTGCAGCGCCAACCTCATAAGCTGAGAAAATTGCGTATAACTATTGTATCCATTGAAGGGAATGTGACTCTTTCACGGCAGATTTACTAAGTCTATTTTGTTTTGCTTATGTCTGTCATAGATAACACAGCCAGCATTCTGACAAGGCGGAGGAGATTTAGTCGAACTATGCAGGATGTGTATTATCTGCCCATTATGATCTCTGATGCTGGAATCCCCTCTCTCAGCAGCAGCAGCACCCTCACCATCAGGGTTTGTGCATGCGAGAGAGATGGGCGTGTGCGGACCTGCCACGCAGAAGCCTTCCTGTCCTCCGCTGGTTTGAGCACAGGAGCCCTAATCGCTATTCTTCTCTGTGTTGTCATTCTCCTTGGTAAGTGGCTACAGTTCAGATACGTGTGTCAGCTCAGTGAAGGAGCGGGAGGAGTAAAGAATGCATACACAGCTATGCAAAAAAAAAAAAAAAAAAAAAACTCACAGATTTTTTGTGATGAAACTTTACCATGCTAATACTAGGAGTTCTTTGATACGGAATTTATCAGCATAGTTCGAGTTAAGCAAAAGCAAAATCCACAACAGAATACTTTGGATAAAAGTCAAATAACCTTTGGTACTTAGATATTTGCACGAGTTTAACTGGTCTCAAGGAAGACTACCTCTTGGGGAGGATACCCTGAGTCTTTGTGAGCTTTGCACGCTAGGGAAATAATTTGCGCAAGGGACAGAGCGAAAGGACGTGCTCAGGTAGGTGATACCATAACTGACCTGGGTAACGGTAAATTGAGATTGGAAGAGAAAGAAATCTGTGAGCCGAGAAAAGTAAAGAAGTCAGGAGAAAAATAATGAAAGAGACGGAGCAGGAGATAAAGGATATCAGTAACACATAGTGTCACGAAAGTCAAAAGTGAAAATGGCGGTAGAGAAAACAGACAAATGTATTATACAACAGGAATACTGATAATGTCAGGAGCAACTTAGTGCGCAATTACTTTAATAAAAATTATTGACAGATTCAGCCACCTGGCACCTGGAGTTTTAGTGCGTTATAGCAGGACAGGATTCTCCAGATATAGCTGGAGGGCAATATCTACTTTATTCATTGTAGCAACACCTGCTGCATTAAGCTTTTCCATTTAGCCTTTAATAGTAAAACATAGAAGAGAAGTGAGGGGAAAACTCAGGCCTTTAGGATTGTGTTCCTATGTGCATCATACAATTGCTCATTTATTTAGGATTTGACTTGTCTTTTAATTTTTTTTAAAGGCACACAAACACAAAGAGAAAATAGGAGAAACCATGATGGCATAAATAGAGGCTGTGAACGCACGTTAGTGCTTGTAAGATAATCAAATTTGCAATATTAAGATCAATTCTTCAGGGGAAGTCATGTTTTCTTCACTTTAATTTTTATTTATTGTCATATAATTATGAACACATCTTAAGACAAACATTTTTATAGTGTTAGGAGTGTTTTGATGTTCAGGTAATTTTGAAGTAAATTATGTTTTCATGTTTTTTATTATTTTAAATAATCTCTTATTTCATAAAAATATTTTTAATCACACTGTATTAGCATATTTTTAGTCTCTAAGATAACTCATTATACATTTGCAAAGTTTGCACTATGTTCAAGAAAATGAAACAAACTATTTGAAATTTTTATATCTATAATAAAATGTTATCAAACTTTTTGGTAAATATTAAAGAATTCATGCTTTCCTTAAATAATCATCAGTTTTAAATTATATCCTTTATGGTGCTATTGCTATTCAGAAAATATAGGTTACTAGACAGACTTTAGTCATCTATATTTAAATTAATTTCTAATTACTCTCAATTTTCATAGAAATGAGTAACACCTTTTTAAAGTGAAGCTTTAGTCTATAATCCAAAATTCTAATGGTCAAACTTCAAAGTCAGTTTAGCTGTGAAATTAATATCCTAATACTGAAAATTGTGTTTTTATGCTTATGTGAATGTGAGCAGCTATATAAGCCCAGTCCCAGTCTGATCAATAATTACGAGCTTACGGTTTCTTTCCTTTCAGACTTTCTACTCTCTATGAGTGAACACATGAAAATGAAATGTCAGTTCAAAGGATGTTAATGTGACCTGCTAAATGTCATGCTACATGCATCTGTGGGGTTATAAGCTAACTGGTTTCAAAAACTGATTATATTCTATTTACATATGTATTGATTAGCAGAAAATGGTGTTTGTCACCAATAGAGCCCAGCTTTCAGTGATGCACAAACAGGTTTTGTGGTCGTGTCACTTTCTATTGCAACCAAATTTTAATTTTTTAAATGAATAAATTTACTCATTTTTCATATAATGTTTCTGGATCATTATCTTTCCCATCCCTAAATCCTCTCAGGTCCTTTCCTCCTCCTATACATCCAACTTCATGATTTATCTCTGTATCAGTTGCTCTGCCTCTCTCTCTCTCTCTCTCTCTCTCTCTCTCTCTCTCTCTCTCTCTCTCACACACACACAAACACACACACACTCACAAATTGGGCACATTTATTAAAGACACATTTGATGTAATACATGGAAGACCATTTGGAGTTGGATCTTAATTAGATTTCAATACTTAAGTGTTTGGTTTCCCAATCCCAATCAGGTGCCTGACATTAAATTTTTAGTCGCATCTTCTCATTTGCCAGACACACCAAGAAAGTGTTGCTAGCCTGCTTTTTGTCACAAATGGTGACCAATTCAAGACCTGTCAAAAATTTCTGACACTATCAGTGTTTCCAAAGTCATATAAAAGCACAAGACTTTGTTGTGAGCACTATTTAGATTGCTCCGTTATCTCGAATATGAATAAACTGAGATTCGGATAGATTAAGAGACGTGAGAAGTATGGTGAACGGAGAAAGACAGAGTGGCGATTGCAGAAGTGGGGGGAGAGGGAAAGGCAGAAAGGGAGAAGGAGAGGGAGGCTGAGCAGTACTGCCAACCTGTAGTCAATTAAACAATCTCGAGAGATTCTCAGGATCCAGGTTGAAAATTTTTCAGTGAAAACTGCCATGACCAGAGGCTGCCAATAGCATTTGTGGAGCTAATCAAAATAATCACTGGGATTGTGTTACTTCATTTCTAGCACATTTAAGACCAAGGTATTTTGGCATCTAAAAGAATCAACAGATATTTGAGGAAAACACATCTGTGATGATGTTTATTTGCAGGCAGTGTATTGTGATTCAAATAGACAGTGGAAGCAAATACAAGACACACAAAGGCTGTGTATGATTATGGAAACCTCTGCGCAGTCCAAATATGGGGGTGATAAACAATTGACAGGAAAAATAATCTGAAAAACCAGTGCAAAATGTAGCTACATTAACTTACATTTCCCTGGGAGTAAAATTAACAAATGAAGGCGAGCAATTTGTTTGCATCTTTGTCTATGACAATATAGTGTCAGAGAGGTGGGAAACTGTCTTAGCAGTCTCTAGTTCTGGAAGATCTAACACCTTCTTATGGCCTCTTAGAGCATTGCATATAAGTGGTGTACATATATACATTCTTTTAAAAGATCTGTACTCGTGAAATGATACTAAATAGATAATTTAAATGCTATAATACTAGGGTCCAAATGCTGCAGCATGTGTAGAGAGGATGTCTGGTATCCACAACGTACTGAGTTCAGCTCCTAGCACCATATAAAGCAGGCATGGAAGAACAGGTCTGGAATCTCATTAGTCCTGAGAGGGAGTAAGAGGATTAGAATTCACAGTAAGTTTGAGAAGGCTTGAGCACCATCCAAACCTGTCTCAAAATTACTTAAGTAACGACAATAATAATTATCTTCAATTCTTAGTCACTTTGAAAGTAAGAGAGACCAAAAGAGATTCACTAAGATAAATAACGAAAGAAATCTACCAGGAAAGGATGAAATACTAAAGAATGATAACATCTCAAAAGTACAATAATCGTTGAAATAACATGCTAGGTTGTACAACTAAAATGTGCTTTGAAATATTCCAGAAAATAATTTATAATTTTAAATAAAGAAGGCAAATATATACAATTTATAATGTATATAAAAATATATAAAATTACATAATCTATTTTATAGCACCATGGCTCTTTGATTTTGTATTTCTCAAATGCTTCATATATAATGACATACTCATAGTATGTACTTGAGTTTAAAGACACGGTGAATTTTTTTAATTTTTTAATTTGATTTACAAGTTTTTAACAATTTATTTGTGTCTTTGATATCGCCATATAATTATTATCTTCACCCCTGATCTTAAAATATGTTTTTATAGGATTTGATGGAAATATTTAGTTTCAATAGTTCAAAATGTTCTCAAGAACAATTAGAAACACTAATATTAAACCAAAAACGATTTTGTAGAAACACTTAACAATAATTTTCTTAGAAAGGCTATTTATACCATAAGGAGTCTCCATTCACCTAGTCTGCCACTGGTTTCAAGGAAATATCTCTTGTTCACCCCAATTTATACACATAAATTCAAAATAAGTTAATCTAAATCAGCCTTACAATGAATATATTTTAAACTTTTGCAGAATAGACACATACAAGAAATCACAACTTAGAAAACAGTATTATCCTCCACATTTCATTATGTAAGTGTGGTATACAGAAAATTTGGAGAGTTTGCTTTGTGAAGAATACAAATGGTCTCTCTTCCTCTGTAATAGGGTTGGTTACTTGTTCCTTTTTATATGCATACTTTCTGTAACAAAATTTAACTGAAACCCTTTTTCTATTTGCGGAACTATAAAGGCAAAGAATCCTGAGAAATAACCAAAAGCAAGTGGAAAGACCCTTTTCTATGACTTTATCCAGTGCTAGCAACATTAGTAACAGCTTTTGGTAAGAGGCAAAAGCAATCTAGTTGTTGTTTTGCTTGAAGACCTGAGCATATACATTAATACATGTATATGTGTACAATGTATCATCGAGTGGGAAATTTTGCTACAAATACCATTATCTATAGGGGTTGACATCATTACCCAGTCTCTCAGTTCTTCTATTTAGTATCCTCCTAAGTAATTCTCTTGGTTGTTGCATTACTTTCCTCCTTTCTTATTCTCTGCTTCTTCATTTTATAAATGTGTAAAGCCAAAGCTCTGCTATGAGGAATACATAAGTTATAAGAAGAATATTGCAAAATGGACAATTCCTACACAGCATAAATTGTGCATAAATAAAGTAAAAATATCTTGCAGCTTTTTGGGGATATAACAGGATTGACTATTTTATAAAATACTTACTGCCTTCTGCATATCTATACAAAATAATTATTTGTGAATTATAAATGCAGATATTTTCCAGTCATAGTTGTTGTTTATGCTGCAATGAGTGTCAAGATGCTAACTTGGCAAAAGAGAACACCACAACGTCACACAGATTAGCAAATCTACAATGGTTCATTTAGGTTACCAGTTTAGACGTTCTCTGAAGTATTCAAATGTCTCCATCCTCACTCAGTGGTCTGCAGATCAAGGTAGTGCAATGCAATCTTAAATCAAGAAGGTATAGGAAATACAAACTGAAAAAAAAAGATACCTAATGTCCAAGAATTGTCTTCTCTCTTCTAACGTCATCTGTTTCCAATTTTCTTCAGCCATTGTCGTCCTTTTCATCACCCTGAGGCGCAGCAAAAAGGAACCCTTGATCATTTCAGAGGAGGATGTACGGGAGAATGTGGTCACCTACGATGATGAGGGAGGTGGGGAAGAAGACACTGAGGCCTTCGACATCACAGCCTTGAGGAATCCTTCCGCTGCAGAGGAGTTCAAATACCGCAGAGACATTCGGCCTGAAGTGAAGCTCAATCCTAGACACCAGACGTTATCCACTCTGGAGAGTATAGATGTTCAGGAGTTTATTAAGCAAAGACTGGCCGAGGCAGACCTGGATCCCAGCGTGCCCCCTTATGACTCTCTTCAGACTTATGCCTATGAGGGTCAGAGGTCAGAAGCTGGGTCTATCAGCTCCCTGGATTCAGCTACCACGCAATCAGACCAGGATTATCACTACCTTGGTGACTGGGGGCCGGAGTTTAAAAAGTTAGCAGAACTCTATGGAGAGATGGAAACTGAAAGAACAAATTAGGCAGTCGATCTTTTTTTGGAGCTTTGTAGTATTTGTTTCCTGACCAAGTGGAGACATGACCTCAATATGACAAGGAAGTCGAGCGGAAACAGTACTTGGAACTGAGTAAGCTGTACAGAGCTCCTGTAGAAACAAGTGCCCTTTTTATGATCAAATGTGGGTTATTGGATTGGAAGAAAGTCAAATATAAAAAATACAGAGAAAAAAAACTATTGTTCCTTGTGTATATTTTCAAATGCTCAATAAAGTCTATCGTACTGTTTAATTAAGAATATCTGAACGAAGCCAAACAATGAATATTTATTTCCCTATGTTGTGATTTCATTTTCCTAAAGCAAAATTTAGAAAGGGGATTTAATATTGCTGTCAGATCCCTACAGTGTAATACGCTGCCCATGGACGCATACGGAGGTAGTCACAGCCTCCCTTGCTACTTTTCCGGGTAGACCGTCGAGACCAATAGTCTGTCAGTGTGAGAAATCCCATTATTGTCCTTTCCTTGAATTACACAGGATATGCCCAACCAACCAGGCAACTCTGCCGTGGAGTTGACTATTTCATTTCCCTCAGCCCTCCCCGCTGATGGAGCACGGGGATTTGCTGCCTGCACTCTAACATATGCAACTTCAGTGCACTGGTTACGCACTGTTCTCAGCAAGGAGACCGAGGTCTCTGTCCTGTCAATCATTCCCTATGTTAACAGGGGACGCTCTGTTTCTAAATCGATGGAATGAATAGACTCCAGTAATCAGATATGTCAGGGAAGTTTTGACTTAAAAATTAATCGCAAACCTTGTCCTCTCTAAAACATCGAGAATGTTCCATTGCTTTTCTCTCGCTCTTTTGATCCCCGTTCATTTCACTACATTTATATCTGAAATCGATTGTCATAATTTTTGTAGATTCGTTTACACCTCCGCACAGTTCACATAATTCCATCATAGGTATTCATCAATGTTACTCGCATGGTTTGTCTGGTCACTTTGTGGTTTATCCTATTGTTTAGCCACCTTCGTCCTTCATGTGGGTTCAGATTTTCTCATGTCCCCTGCATAGTAATTGCACATGTGGTGTTTATAGGAAAATGTGTAGGAACAGGCCAAAGAAATAGAGGAATCGTGCAGATGACCCCTGAACAGATCTCCCAGAGTCTCTGAATGTCGGGATCCCCAAGTGCAGTGTAGACAAAGCAATGACGTTCCTGCCTACCTCACAGGGCTGTTGTGAGGACAAACTAGGCAGTGGAGAGCCACTTCACCAAGTGCAACGAACGTATCCTGCTATCTGAAAACCTGCACACAGCTAATTTATCAATAACATTGGTTTCCAAATATATATTTGCATACATTTTAATAGATAATGATCTTAAGATGAGAAAATTTTATGAAACCTTCAAGAGTCAAGCTTTTGTTAACATAAATATGTAATAACAAATCTAATAATATTAATATTTTCCAAATAATCTCATTTTCTTTATAACTTCTTGGGGCTTTTTAAATTTTTTAAAAGAATATTCCTTTCTCTTGTTTTGGGGGCTTTATGTAAAAAATATAGAACATTAAGGTACTACTCTTCAGAATTACCTCATCTATGTATTCCTAGTAAATCAGAATTTTTAAACATATGAGATATAAAGTATTTGAAGGAATAGATGTTTTTCATTTAACCTTTAAATTTATTAGAGTATAATGTCCCCAAAAGTTATATGACATTTTCTGATTCCCCCCTTGTGCAAACTTTGGGACTGTGCCTCTGTTTGAATCTGCCGTGTGCTGTCATCTTCCAGTTTTGAGGTTTGGGAACTGAGTTTAATTTGAATAACTCTCAGAATTTGTGTTCTAAGCCTGAGGAATAAAATGAAATTTAAGCTTTTTACAACCTCCCAGCTTCCCAGATGCTGCTTTATCAGTTCTTTAAACATCATAACGGGGTGCATTCCAGTGTAAGGATCAATCAAACACAAAAGGGACTGGGGAAACAACAGCTTCAGAATACCCAAGGTCTGGTTATGCTAATGAGGAAGCATCCTCTACTGAGAAGAGTGTACTTCTTGGGAAATGCAATGTATCTACAGGTCACCTCTCCTGACTCTGATAGGACCACGAGGGTCCAGGTGTGACATTCCATTCAGTTTTTGATTATGATTGTAAAGTTACCGGTATTTTGAATATATTTATATATTCAACAGGCTATTTCACAGATGAGGGTCTGGGGGATGAAAGTGTGTGTATCCTTTCAACTCTGTAACAAAGCCAATGATTTCTAAATGGTTGCAAGCACTAAAATATTTCCCTGATTATGTAGGATGAAATGATGCACTGCTACTTAATTCTATCTACTTATTAATTTTAAAGATATGTTGCATATAAGTCCCTGGTGTTTATCTAAATATGAAGATACATATGATTCTATTATATTTGGAAGTACTTTTATTTGCCGTAAATAATAATAATAATAGTTAATGGTCATTCTAGGTCCTTCATTTGATATAGACTCTGAAAGTAAAGACTTGTTTAGTTATTGTAAGTAGAAAGCAGGTTTCATAGTTCCAATTCTATTATTTAAATCAAAATAATAATGGGAAATCATGCCATATAAATTGGGTACTCACCCTCAGTACATTATATTTAAAATCTACAGTTTTACCAATAGCAAAGATCTTCAACAAAATTCCAGGGTAGGTGAGTGAGGATTGGAGTTATTAAGCAAAAAGAACAGAGAAATAGAAGAAACGAGAGACAGAAACACAGAACAGATCAGGAGGGACATTCAGTGAATACTGAATCATGAATTTGCCCTTGTTTTTTTACATACACTTTTATACCCTAATAGAAAAGGGGTGGGGGAGAGAAGGCAAAAGACTTCTTTATCATGACACAAAAGACAAGAGAACAGTTATTTGCTTCAATACTTGAGACATCAAACCATTATTTCCTGAGTAAAGCAGCTGATGGTTTGGGCAGGAAGGAGCAATGAACGCGCCCTAGACCAAGTATCCTGTAGGCAGCTACTTCTTATATCAAGCCTTCTATTTTAAATGAAGGAGCACAGGGGTATGCTTGATTTCTCTGGCCTTTGTTCAGGTGGAGCGGCTTCATCTCTATGAACCATCTTACAGTCCAAAACACCAAGTAACCACATCCTAGGTCAGGATCTCTTGTTTTGTAGCCACACCTGTTGTCAACAACTGTGAAAGAGCGAAAACAAGCTCAAACTCTCTGACCTTCAGACAAGGTGGAACAGGATTACATCTGTGTGTGCCTCCAAAAAAAGTTTTCCAAGAACTCAGAGAGCTGTATACTTTCTTTCACGGCAAGAAATAGCCATGGGTTCTCACACCAACGATGCCTCGCTGCATGTTCTGCAGATCAGGTAATACTTCTTTACATAAATATAGTGTAGATTCAATAACTATGGACCACTTATTTTTTAGACAGACTCTATCAAAAGGAGTATTTCTACAACTGAGGAAAATATTAAGTGCCAAAAATTTATCTTAGGTGTTTTGTAGAATAGAATCTGTCATAGTATTATTAATATTCCTTAAAGTTTGAAAAATTAGCATGATTTTAGAAAACCAAGAGGTATGTCACAAATGTATTCTATTGCACATCTCTTCAAGTAATGCGTTTTGAAGGAATTAAAGAGGCAATTGTGCCTCAGGCAAAACTCCATATAGAAGTAAATTACAAATACCTATGATATAGCACAGAAAAGAGATGGCCATGAAATCAATTGCCAAAACTTAACCACACGGGTACAAGCACATATGCTAATATCTTTTTGAAGAGTAGTTTGGGGTGAAGATATAATTCAGAACAAAGACTTGAATGCTAATGTGGACATGTATTCCCAAAATAAAACCATAGAGGAGGTTTCACTATGAATATTAGACTCAAAATGGAATTGTTTGACTTCATCGAGCCTAATGTACCAATTTCATTGCTGCCAGTTTGAAGATGTATCACAGGTATTGTAAAGAAAACTTATGAATGTTCAAAAGTGACTAAATTATCACATAGGTATTAACCAGAATTTTAGAACTGGTGCTGTAATGGACAAAGCACACATACTACATCCTAAAGAGGGTTTTGATACTCAGTACTCTGACATTTAAATGGATATATATGCCCACAACAGTTTCAGCATGAGTCAAACATTTATAAGAGAAAATCCTAAGTGTACTAGCTCTAAAATATTTGTGGCTGTATTCTTATAGACCTGTACCCAGCAGGCTAATTTGGAGTCTGGTTTTCAGTTCAGCTGAAACCAACCTCCAGGCAGACTTATATCAGATCCAAGAAAAACCACTTGTTTTATAATCGAGGGAAAGGACCGTGCTAGATCCAGCACACTGCAGTAGGCTTTTATCTGAGAGTGAGAACAGGCTTTGCCAGATGCTTCAGACTCTGTTTGAACAGCTTTGCAACTCCAGTGCTTATATGTTCTTGAAAAGTTAAGAGATCCATGATCTAGGATCAACTGTGCTTGACTTCAAGCTGTGATATTCTATTCTTATTTCTATCTGAATTTCAAGAACAGAATAAATTTACTAAAATATGACTTGGGAACTTTATGGCTTATTTTCAAATGAAATCTCCCTCTCTAAAAGCAAACATCATCTTAGCATTTATTTTACCTCATCTCCCCCAAAATATCTAAATCTTGTCTTCAACATAAGATTAGAAAGTTCATAAACAAAAAGGACCAGCAGCTCTTCAAAACAACTAAAGCCAAAGACAGTAAGTATATCAAACATTCTGAATACATAATTATAAAATGAAAGCATTGAATAAGGTGCATTCTATTATCTCAAAACAGCACCCACTGTGAACTATGGAAAGGTAAATGATGTGAGGCAGTTATTTCTGCTTGTGAAAGAAATCAGAGAAGAGTGGGGTGGTTTATGACTAATGAATGAAAATTATTAAAAAAAAAACTTGCATTGTCCTGAAGGTTGGCTACTACTTCTCTATGTTCAGAGAAATGAGGGAATTTTGCTTTTTGGCATGAAAGAAACATCATGATTTTATTTTTTTAACTTTTGCGTTTAAAAATTTAAGCATTGAATGTGGGAAGTACTGTTGTTAAATCATTTTTACCTTGTTCTCTCCCTACTCGAACTCTCCAAAGCACCTATCCTCCAGCTCCCTCTAAGTTTATTATTTCTTCTTTAACTACTATTTGTGTGTGTGCGCGCACGCGCGTGCGCGCGCACACGCATGCATGTTGCTTACTCGGTTCTTCTAAGGTTGTTCACATGTACATGTTTGGAGATCATTTTAGGATTGGATAATATACCACGGGTCTTCTCTGGAGAAGACTGATGCTCCCTGTTTAATAGGTCATTGGCTCCATGTAGCTCTTCATTTACTGGTTTAGTCTTCTAAAATTCTAATGAAGACCCTTTGCTTTTAAAAAGATGTGAGCTGTAAGACAAGCAAAAAAATGCACATTCTGAATCTCATAATATCATATCTTCTCAGGAAACCTTAATACATGTTACAGGTTTTATCAGATGTTTTCATCTGATGGAAGAAAGCACAAACATTGGTGTTTGGGAAATGACCATGCT